GTTGTATTGATTTACTTTTTGGATGTTTCAGGCCGTTATGTGATCTAAGACTTACGCTTGATAGAAAACGTTGATTGCAAATTCCACAGTAAAATGGTGAATTTTTAAATTCATTTGGGTGACACTTCCTCATGTGGTAAAGCATGATTTTATCGATCATTGTTTTATCACAAAACTTACATTTTACTATTGATGATCTTGATTTTTTCTTTAAACGCTGTTCGTTTTTTCAGCTGGAATTTTCATGCTTCTCGTTTTTTTCTTAACTTTTCATAAATTACTGTTGAATTTTTAATTTATAACTTTGATTTTGAAAAATAATTAAATTTTTGATTCGATCTTTATGACTTTAATGTTCAATACTTTTTATAAGATTGTTAAATGTAAATTAAGTTAATAGCAGTTTTATAAAATATTTTGCACAAAGTTTTTAATTTGTAAATAAAAACAATAAAATGAGATTTTTTTTGAAACTTTAATTAAATTTGTCCAATAAATTGAAGTAAATCATTAAGTTGATCCAAAAAAAATGTTTTTTACAATTTTTCTAAATTTTGAATACGAACATTGTTGTGTTTTTTTAAAAGACTCTTAGTTTTGAAGTAAATACCACATAAATCGCATTGGAACAAATGTTTTGGATGAACTTGGAGCATATGCCTTGCCAGAAAATGTTTATTTTTGCATACTGCAGCACATTTTTCACACTTTTGAGGACTTTTCATACTTGTGATCTTTTCGTTTAACCTTTCATGAGTTTTTTGGTGGGTTTTGAAGCGATATTCTAAGTGAGTTCCATATTGACATTGTTGACATTTGAATGGCTTTAGACGATTATTTATATGAGTCATTTGATGATCCTCTAAATTTTGTTTTCTGTTGAATTTTTTGTCACAAATTTCACATTTAAAGCTTCTTGGATTTTCGTGAATACTTGCTACATGTTTAATTAATTGATATTTGGCAGCAAATTTTAATTCACAAATCTCACATTGAAATTTCTTATCGTGAATTTTTTTATGCTTTTTGAGATTATTGCTACTTTTGAATGATTTTGAACAGATTTCACATTGAACATTATTTTCTGGAGCATGAGTTTGTTTCATGTGATTATAAAGTGACAAAAGAGTAAAAAATTTACTGCAAATTTTACATTTCACTTTTGGCAGATGAGATTTCATGTGCATAAATATTAAAAATCTAGATTTATACTTTTTTCCATCAATATCACATTCATATTTTTTAGTCTCGGATTTTATGTGCCTTTTTGTGATATCAAATGTTCGATGGTTTTGATTGAAAATTCCATTATTATTTGACGAATCTTTAAATTCTTTTTCGCAATTCAATAGCATATGTCTGGTGTTGTCCGATTTTAATACGATTTTTCCACGCAACTTACATTCTTCCTGATTTGATTTAATCGATTTTTCTTGTTTTTGGTGATGTCTTCAATTTTTGATGGATCTGACTTAGGTTTAATGATTATCAAACTTTTGCATTTTCCATTTCGAATTTCTTCATTTATGTCTGTCAAAACTACGTGACACTCACGGACTTGAATTGGATTCGATGAAATTTCTTTAGTTTTTGACTTTTTTGCTTCTATTTGAAAATAATCTGAAATTTTTCTAGACATTTTTAATCACTTCTAATGTTGAATAATTTTTTAAGTTGATAACCACGTTGAAATGAGTTTTATACAAATTTTAATTCAAAACTTTTTCGGAAAAGGTATTTGTACAAATCAAAACAAAGATTTTTCAAAAGTTTCTCGAAAAAGTTTTGAAGGCAATGAAAAAGTTCGTTTCTTTTAATACCATTAAAATTACTTTAATGAAATGTTCGCTGGAGACTTAATCATTGACAAATAAAGAACTATTTACAAAGGTTTGAAATTTGTGCCTTTAAAAACACTTAAAATTATTGAAATTGACCCACTTTTACGGGTCTGCAGTTCATTTAAAAATATACATTTAATTGAAAAATTCCATTAAATGTAAGTCGACCTTTATACCTGTTTCTCTTCCGATTTCATCTTCGATTTCAATTTCTCATAAAAATGATATTTTTTTCTGTACAAACATGCTTGTCACTATTATTATTGCCACAACTATCATTTCCCTCTCATTTTTCTCCAGAAAGCTAATAATATATGCAATTTAAACTTGTTCAAGCGTACATTGACGAAGTAATTAATTTGGATTTAGTTTCTCTCTTTCTCTTTTTTTTATTTCAACCAACCTGACTATCTCTTTTATCTTCCTCGATGAAGTTGAATTCAATTCATGCTGATATTACAATTATTAATCCTCAACTAATGACACGATTTATAAAATGAAGAAGAAGAGATGAAAAAAATAAAGTCTTTTAAAACAGGCGAAAGAGCTTTCATACAAATGTAGATGCAAATCATTTATCGTATCTAGAAAAATTATTATTGTTATACTGGCTAACAAGATAGAATTGGTATGATAAGTAGTGCAAGTCACATGAAGTAGGTCGTTTTACTTGATTTGGTATTGTTTAAATTATTTAAAATATTTCTGATAGTTTTATATGACCTTTAGACCCACAAGGGTATGGTTTAGAAAGGTTGAGGATAGTTTAAGATTGATACGGTTAACGATTAGATTTTTCAGCTTTACCCTAGTTAACTAGGATGCTTAAACGGAAACTTTTTAGGCCACGAAGCAGTAACGGAGCAGTGGATCATCATTTCACGTTTTAGCACCACGATGGGAACATTGACAAACATAGAATTTTTTGGTGGAACTTACTATTCTCTCCGGAGCATAGCTTGATAAACACTGGCTCAGGACTATGCTTAAGTTTATACGTGGCTGTAAACTAAGTTGTTTTATAAGTTGTATACTAAGTTGTGTACTAAATTGTATACTAGGTTGCATACTAGGTTGTATACTAAGTTGTCTACTAAGTTGTTTACTAAGTTGTTTACTAAGTTGTTTACTAAGTTGTGTACTAAGTTTGTTTACTAAGTTGTATACTAAGTTGTTTACGAAGTTGATTAAGTTGTGTACTAAATTGTATACTAGGTTGTAAACTAAGTTGTATACTAGGATTTCCTCTACGATCAATGTCTCAGAAGGTGGTAAAGTTAAATTTAAAGATCTTAAGCCGCAACAATTGACTACCTTAGCTACAATAGCTTTTTTTCCATTCTAATAAAATTCTTTCACCTCTCAATTTCTCTTCAAAATCTTTCGATTTGAGAAAATCTCGCTAGATAAAAGAAAAAAATCAATTTGCATTTATGACAAATCGACATTCGATTAAACGTTCAAAAGGAATTATAATCTCATTAGTGAAATGAAGAAGTAGATAAATGAATAAATAGCTAAAGAAGATGGAATTATGAGCACTTGTGCACTCTTACTTTAACATTTATATATTGTGTATATCGGCTGCGAATTAGTCGAGTAAATAATGAATTCCAAACAATTTAGCATTCTTTATATTCAAGAGATAATTTATGCATTCAACAATGGATTGCCGACTCTTTACCATGCGCAATGGCATTTACTTCTTTTTCTTTATTATTATTATTTTTTTTTTCTCTTCTCTTTCTTAATAGGGCTCAATTTTACAAGCTAACAACTTACAACTCTATAAAAAGCCTCGCTTTTATTGCGATAAATTTTTCATTCCCATAATCAAATATTAATACTGTAAATGCTTTAAATTAAAAACTATTGAAAGAAGTAAATTGAATAAAGAAAACATTTTTTATGCTTCCCTTTTTCACAATTCTTAGTAGACTATTGAATGGATTGAAGTGTGGTTAGGTTTGATGATTTAGAACGCATTAATAGGAATTTTAGGTTTTTAAGGGGTATCCAACTAAGACCTAAAATGCTAGATTTTTGGGAAATAATGTACTTTGAACTCTATTTGAATATTTTGATAGGAACTATCAATGTTTTGGTTGACCGAAGTTAGTCTAGATAGATTTGATTTGCTTACCACTGATAGCTTTCATGAAAATAAGAGAATTAAATTTTCAAAACCGTTACAAAACTTTGATCATCAAAATCATATTATTTCATCAATTCAAAGCTATTCAATGGAAAAAATTTCCTCCTCCATCCAGCCAGCCACCCAGACACGAAACAAATTTCAATCAATAAACCCATAAAATGCACGAAATGCTCTTAACTTGCACCAAATGAAAGACAAAGATCTTCTTCTTACATGCATACCCAATTAACGGAGCAAAAAAGCGAGAATCGAAATAACAATAATAAATATTTTATATGCGCATCTTCACTGATCCACATTATGTGTGTTGAATCACGATTAAACATTTATTGTTTGACTCTCTTCATTAGTTTAACATGCTTTAATAGCCCCGGTACAATAAAAGAATAAGATGAACAACAGATATGTCCAAGAAAAATTGATACACAATATTTTGATGGCTATCAATCTGAATAAGAACGCACAATCAGTTTAAAAACATTTTTCCAGATGATGAAGCAGCAAAATGAAGTCAAATTAAATTTAATTTCATCTTCTTTTGTTTCACTAATGAAATAATGGGTTAGGAATTGTAATTTTGTTCTCTTTTGTGGCATGGAAATGTGGATAGGAAATGACACTAATTTTGTATTGAGCTGTAATGATGAAAATTGATTCATCAAGAACATAATTTGGACGACATGTGAAGTGGAAAAAATTAAATTTGATGTTTTTTGAGAATAAACTTAGCATATTTATTTATTTACTTAAGCAAACGATAAGAAACGGTTGCAGGGATCAATAATAATTAATGTGCATCTTAAAATAAGTTTTTTAAATTTTTGAAGATAAAATTGTAATTTTTATTAGATTTTTTTGAAAAATAAAATTCTTACCAAGTTTGTTAAATCAAAAAAGTTTCAAAAAATCTCAAATCAAGTTTCAAACTTTAATTTTAAAAATTTATATAAAATCTCTAACACAATCAATATTCAGTTTATATTCTAGCAATAACTGTTCAGTAACAAAGGAAAAGTCAACAAAGGTCAACAGAAAATGTCTAGAAAAATTTCAGATTATTTTCAAATAGAAGCAAAAAAGTCAAAAACTGAAGAAACTTCATCGAATCCAATTCAAGTCCGTGAATGTCACGTAGTTTTGACAGACATAAATGAAGACATTCGAAATGGAAAATGCAAAAGTTTGATAATCATTAAACCTAAGTCAGATCCATCAAAAATTGAAGACATCACCAAAAAGCAAGAAGAATCGATTACATCAAATCAGGAAGAATGTAAGTTGCGTGGAAAAATCGTATTAAAATCGAACAACACCAGACATATGCTATTGAATTGCGAAAAAGAATTTAAAGATTCTTCAAATAACAATGGAATTTTCAATCAAAACCATCGAACATTTGATATCACAAAAAGCCACATAAAATCCGAGACTAAAATATATGAATGTGATCTTGATGGAAAAAAGTATAAATCTAGATTTTTAATATTTATGCACATGAAATCTCATCTGCCAAAAGTGAAATGTAAAATTTGCAGTAAATTTTTTACTCTTTTGTCACTTTATAATCACATGAAACAAACTCATGCTCCAGAAAATAATGTTCAATGTGAAATCTGTTCAAAATCATTCAAAAGTAGCAATAATCTCAAAAAGCATAAAAAAGTTCACGATAAGAAATTTCAATGTGAGATTTGTGAATTAAAATTTGCTGCCAAATATCAATTAATCAAACATGTAGCAAATATTCACGAAAATCCAAGAAGCTTTAAATGTGAAATTTGTGACAAAAAATTCAACAGAAAACAAAATTTAGAGGATCATCAAATGACTCATATAAATAATCGGCTAAAGCCATTCAAATGTCAACAATGTCAATATGGAACTCACTATAAATTTCGCTTCAACAATCATCAAAAAACTCATGAAAAGTTAAACGAAAAGATCGCAAGTATGAAAAGTCCTCAAAAGTGTGAAAAATGTGCTGCAGTTTGCAAAAATAAACATTTTCTGGCAATGCATATGCTCCAAGTTCATCCTAAACATTTGTTCCAATGCGATTTATGTGGTATTTACTTCAAAACTAAGAGTCTTTTAAAAAAACACATCAATAGCAAAAATCATTTAACAAGATTTTGAAAACAATATTTCTGGAATTTTAAGAAATCTTATAAAATGTCCAAAATAAGACATTAAATTCTAATAATATAATAAATTACATAAATACATGAAAACCATCAACTATAACTGCACATTTTACTTAAATTCTCATGTGATCGATTTTATATCACATTTTATAGACCTTAACCTCAACCAATAAAAAAAATTGCTTTAAAAAGTCTCTCTTGTCTCATCTTATGATTGAATTGCCTTCTTCAGTCCAATTCAATAATCATAAAAAAATTAAATCTTCCAAAAAAAATTGAGATAACTTGATCAATCATAAATTTGACAATTTGAATAGGCATCACACAACGATCTCCACTTTTTGGATCATAAAAGAATTCGTAGCAGATAAAAAGTAAGTTTTCCTCTCTTTTATATCCATTGTTGGATGATCACTCAAAAATGACCACTTTTGCTTTGATTTCTTTTTTTTCGGGTGATGAATTCGATGAGATTGTGGAGATGAGTGATCAATAAAAATTATTCATATGTGAAGTGGATTTTTAGACTGATTGAAATGCGAGCAATTTTAAATATGAAGGTGTGATGTGAGTATGGGAAATGGGTTCTGAGAATCTTTTTTTGGTTTGAAGGCTGACTTTTTTGGAGTTTTGGAGATGTTATCTAGAAAAAGAACATTGATCTTTGAAATAATGTGGAATCGATTGAGTTCTAATGTGGATTTTAAAGTCGTGGAATCTTTTAACCTTTAGTAATCTGTTATAGCACGATTTATAGCATCTATTGGGGAATTGCTTAGTTCGTTGACAATATTGTGGTCATCGGTATTTAATATCGACATCATGTTTCCTATTTGTTGGACTTTAATGTTTAAATATTGGAATAAACTTAGAAATATGAAAGTAAAATTCAATCTAGATGACAATATTGGCACTGGAATTTATAAAACCATAGGAATCGAACTTCTTTCAAGTATACTTCAAGTAAAATCCATGCTTCACCACTTTGTCTATTGATACTATTTTACCAATGAGTCATTTATGAACAAATTAGCTTATATTAGCATTCTAGTCTATCAAGACTCAGAAGATACATTTTAAAACCAAAAATAATCCCATCTGAATCACCAATCTTCCTCATTAAAGAATTCCATTTCTGATACAGCCGAATCAAATCAAAAAATGTCTATCAAAGTCACTAATTTAGAACAAATTTTTCTTCACATCAATTCACTTTCATTATTATCAAGAATTTCTTTTAAGAACATCATTTCCCATATACATTCGAATCCATTCATTATTTCACTCATTATTCTATCATCAAAATCATTACAACAGAATCATCACACATAAAGGAAAAGAAATTAAATAATGAAGTCAACAACAAATCAAACTAAACTGAAATCAATTCATACAGAAAGATTGGGAACAAGAATCAGGCAGAAGAATGAAAGAATTTAGGAATGAAAAGAGAGGAAGAAAATGTTCACACTAATTTGATTGGAATTCACACAGAATTTTATTTTCTCAAACTTCATATATCAATCTATATTATCCATCTTGCTGTGTGGATCAATGAACTATTTAGATCTGAACTTCATCAATTTATTTTGTTGATGAATCGAAAGTTATTGAAAATTAGCTAAGATAGAGTTTGAGGCTTAGAATATGGATGAGTTGGGCATTTTTAAAGAAATTTTGGGATTTGAACCATTCAATTAAACTTGACTTTTTGAGTTTCGAACCCAGAGATAAGTTTTCTTTGCATGACACTTAACCACTCAGCAATTGATCCATATCAATCCAGATTGGTTATCCTCGCTTAAATTAAAATGATATTAACCACGGAAAACCAAAACAGCTAGCCATCCCCTGCTCATATCCAAGAACACATCAAAACTATCTAGAAAGAAATTCTCATTTCTTAATAAATCCAATAAATATTCCCATTAAAGACCATGGAAAGAGGAAGAAAAGCCAATTATGAATTATTGAGTGACTTACAATACCAAAAAAAAAGAAAGAAAAAGAATCAAGTGAGAGAGACGAATGATTATGTGTGGTGGATGATCCAGCACAAACGATGAGAAAATAATCTGTAACAAAAAATCATTCATGTGCAGATTTAACATTTCATACATGAATGTACATAATGTTAAAGTCATTTATGGGCACATATTCGAGATTATGAATATATTCATTCATACGGCACATACTTGAAATAATTTTGAAAAGTGAGATGAAGATAGGAATGAAATGAGGAAGAAGTTTGGGATTTTTGATTGTAATCTGTGGAGCGCATTGGAGATTTTGGGGTATTTGATAGGTATTGTTGGTTATGACTTGGTGATGCTCTTGAGTATCTTAGTCATGTTAAGATGCTTGGTCTCATTATGCATCTTGGGTACTTAAAACTATGATCATGGATCCATTCTGTATCTTAGTATCACTTATAAGTGTTTTTAAGATTGTATATCCACATGTCAAGCATGTGTAGCTTCAGGGCATCTGCTTAAAATTAAATCACATCCTATGACACATAAAAGTATATGCTGATTATATGCTAGGTCACGCCATATTATAATTCTTGATTTAAATCTCAAATCATTGACTTTTGTAAGAATTCTAAAATTCATATTCTTCCGGTCTTAAATCAGCACCTAGTATCCAAAGACAATCCGTCGCTAAACCCCACACTTTACTATCCACCTAAACTACGCTAACCAGAAAGAATGTTGAAGAGAGAGATCTTCATAAATAACATTTGATGCATGTCCAATTCACAATACATTCCCGGCTTTTTCAGAGTCGGCAATAATGTCTTTGGAATGAGGCGCATCATGAGCTTTTTCTTTATTACTCATGCCACATTAAAGGAAATTTTCATGACTGCACATCTCCATTTCAACTTCTCCGACGTCGTCGTCGTGTGAATGCCAGCAGTTGAGAAATTTAGACTTTAAGAAGTTGCAAAAAAAATGTAAGCAAAAAAAAAACGAGAACTCATTTTGTGTTTTATGATGTCCACTATTAGCTACTGATGGTTGAAAAATGTTCTTCTCATTTTAGCCTCGAACCATAATTCACATGAGGTTAAGTTTAAGTGCTACTAAATGAACTAGCATTTCTCACATTTGCTTACTTTTTTTTTGTGTAAATGCTCTTATCAGCATGTGTGTTGTACCTTTCAGTTGCTGAGACATGAACATGAACTGTGAAATGCGATCGCTGCTAGCAAGCGGCAATTATTTAAATCGGTTACATTAAGTATTTAGTTACAGATTAGGATTAATTGCTGCTGTAGCTGTGTATTTTGAAAACTCATCTTTAAGATGATTTTGAAGTATTCGTGGATGCCAAATTTTAATTAAAGTGCAAGACAATCTATGCATGATCATCTAAGTCCAACATGCATCTCCAAATTCCCTACAATGCAATTACCACTGCCTTATAATAACCACAACTAAATAACCCATCCAAAAAAAGATATCTAAGAAGATCACATTACAAAAAGCATATTACATTCATCAATAATAATAATAAAATTTCATTGAGCTTGGTGAGGAGTCAATACACTTGGTGTGAGGTAGAAGAACAAGAGGTATATGCTGTTGGTAGAACAAATCCATTCATCGGCATATTTTCTTTTAACTTTTTTTATTTTTTTAATTACATTATGGAAAAGAATAATATACACACACAAAAAAAGCATATCCACAAAAATAAATGAGAGTCGGTTATGGTTATCTGTTAGTTGTGAGGCATTGCACATACGTCGTTCAATTTAATTATAGCATTGTATGACGAAGTAAGTAATAATAAGAATGGTATGAGACTTGGTAAGTGCTTTAAATTGTTGACTTATTTGTGCAGTTGTTGCAATTGTGTTGGGCAGTTTGGAATGGAAAATTTTTCTAAGGATTTTTAAAAAAACTTAGACAAAAAGTACGAATTCACGAATCTTGAACATTAATACTTAAACCTTAGGATTCGAACCTTTTTTCTTAATTTTAAATCAGCAAAACTGAATCTATTTCTCAATTAAAACCATATTTTGAATCCTGCAATCTCCATATTGCTCCATATCTCTTTCTCATTCCAACAACTCTGCCATATTACCGCAAAGCTTTTCTTACTTGCCTTCCTCATCTACATCATTCTTACTCTTTCCATTTTCATTACAAGTCAATCAATAAATGCTGATGACCCGAGACAAAAAAGAGTAAAATTTCTTATTAGACTTAATGCTCAATGCTTCATTCTTATCACCTTAATGTGTACTTTTTCATAATTAAAATTAATTATAGACGTAAGTCTTATAAATTGAAGCTCACATGAAACTTTTTTTTTGCACTGCAATTTCATTCATTCTCTTCATTTCTGTTGATTATCGTTCTGCTCAATTTGTTGCATTGGCACTGCTGTTTAATGCACAAAGTAATGAATTTTTTTCGGGTTTTCGACTGTTTTTTGAGTTATTGATGATTTGAATGATGGAATTTTATCAACAGGAGCAGCAGTTGCTTAATTGGGAAATGAGAAATGGTGAAAAAATAATGAGACAAGGAAATGGAAGTGAATGATCGATTGAAGAATGAAATTGAGCGCAGTTTATGATGAGTGATGAAGCAATTGAAGTTTTGCATCTTATATGAAGAGTTTTGTGATCAGCTGCATCATTGGTGCTGATAGGAATATAATACAAATTCGTGGGCGTGATGTGATTAATGAGAGACTAGGAGGAACTATTTGAGACTAGGAATAACTACTAGGGACTAGGAATAAGCTTTAGAAACTAAGAAGATCAACTAGAGACTAGGAAGAACTACTAGAGACTAGTAAGAACTACTAGAGACTAGTAAGAACTACTAGAGACTAGTAAGAACTACTTGAGACTAGTAGAAGCTAATAAAGACCAGTAGCAGACTAGTAAAATTCAAGATCTTGCAGGAATCGAACCGACATGCTTACAAAGAAAAAGTATGGACACTAACATAATGTTGTCTAGACCTAAGTCTTACATTGTTAAATTAGCATTTAAATGATTCAATGTTCAAGAATCTTTCTCCTGCTACATCAAAACTGAATGCCATACTTTAAAACTTAATTAA